ACTTGATGGCCAAAATCTAGGTCCTCTGACCTCTACAGTGTGGAGACCAGGAACCACATATGCATTCTCCCACCCCAGACAGAAAAACTAAAAATACCTCAGAGTATTTGTCTGGCATACAGGAGGCACTGATTCCATCTCCAGAACTGGTGAGACTATCTCCCCAAATCTGGGCAGGAGGGAGCACAGGAGAAACTGCTAGAAATGATTAGGACAAACTGGTCCACATTAATAATAAAATAGCATCCTAGTTTCAGTACACTCTTTTTGAGAACACAATTATCAGTCTTGGCTTTTGGGCGCTTTTGTCTCTTTGGGACAGGCTTTCGCTGTTCGGTTAGCCTGGAATTCACCACGGAGACTAGGTTGGCCTGGAGCTCCTGGGTGGTTCTCCTGCCTCTATCTCCTAAGTGCTGGCACTATAGGAATGCAACACCAAACCCAACTTTTATCTGTGTGCTTAAACAACTTAAGTAGGCTTCAGCCCTGCTAGCCAATTGTCTGCCAAGCTCTGAAGTACCCGTGGTGACAAAGCATCCTAGGGTTACAAACAGTGGGGCCAAGGCTTTCTGATACATGGAAGATAAAACCTAATGGACTGTGAACAGGGAGTAGTCTCTGCTATAAATCAGAATATTAAAACTAGAACAGATATGTATACAGGCAAACGATTCTGGTAAACTAAAGGAATTTTCAGCTTGAGCAATGAGCAGTAAGGACCTCAGGTGGGAATGGTGGGAAAGGCTGAAGTGAGCATAGACGTTTCCTGTGGAAGGACTACAGCCAGGCAGGGCCTTACATGTACTAAACAAACAAATGCCAAGTGGGCTCCAGCCCTAACCCCCAAATTTCTTCAGTGAAATAATTAGAATAAGACATTATATTACTTATAATATATGTCAATTATATTATATTATATATGTCAATTGCCCACGCATATAAACCTAAAGTAACCTAACTTTTCTCCTTTATATTTTATGCCAAAATTAAAATTTCCTAAAGTAGGCTGATAGTTCAATGGCATTTGCTAAATTTAAGTGATAAAGACATAGTTATAAAAGGGTTAAAATAAATTTATTTTTATTCTAAACTTTATTATTATTGTGTGTGTATGTGAGTGTGTAGGGGCCAGTGGGGATGGTCCCCTCCTCCCCCCTTACCTGGGGACAATTCTTGTCTCACTGTATCTCATTTTGTAGCAGGAGTGATGGGATTGCAGATGTATACTACCAATTTTGGCTTTTAAAATATTTTATTTGCTATTATTTTCTCTCTGTGTATGTGTATATGAGTGTACATGTTGAGGTCAGTGAACAAACTTGTAGAGTCAGTCTCTCCTTCCACGTGGGATTTTAGGTTCGAACTCAGGTCATCAGGCTTGCAGAGCAAGTGTCTAACCATATTCTATCTTTGAGTCATATCAACAACCCTGCACTGGCTTTTTTTTTTTTTTTTTTTTTTGTTTTTTCGAGACAGGGTTTCTCTGTGGCTTTGGAGCCTGTCCTGGAACTAGCTCTGTAGACCAGGCTGGTCTCGAACTCACAGAGATCCGCCTGCCTCTGCCTCCCGAGTGCTGGGATTAAAGGCGTGCGCCACCACCGCCCGGCTTTTTTTTTTTTTTTTTTTTTTTTTTTTAATGAGATCTTCAGGGGCTGAAGGCTTGCTGAGCAAGTACCTTTTCCTGTTGAGCCAACTTGCTAGCCCGTGGCTGACTTTTAATCAAAACTGAATAACTACAATAACTGCTTTTGAATTAGTCATCAGTAATTGATTGTGGCAATGTCCATGGGCTTCAAAAAATGTATGCAACAAGAAGGGCTAATGTAGGCATAGTGGTACACACCCATATGCCATCCACCACTGAGGAGGCTGAGACAATAGGGGCTTGGGCTATCTAGGGAAACCCTTCTTCAGAAAAAGTGGGAGAAGCAGCAGGAGAAAGAAGGGGAGGGGAAGAAGGTCTACTAACTCAGTATTTTTGAGAATGTACTGAATATATAGTTACAGAGCATCTTCTAAATACAAAATTTCCTAGGCCCTGAATGTGGCATAAACACGAGACTACTGATGCTCAGGTGATCATACTCATTAGGAGTCATGGTGATTTTAAGGAATCTCCTTACAATATGCCTGAGTATGGAAAAGCTTTCTAGTTGTAGGTTCAGTATGAGAATGCCTGAACTAGAAAGGAATTTAAAAAACGGTTGAAATCTCATTCTAAAAGTATAGCCCCCAGTGGGCTGTAACTGTCTTGGGAACCTGTTAGGAATGCAGTTTCTCTAGTCTCACTCTCGATGGCTAAACTCTGGGGTTGGGGTAAAATGTGTTGTAACAAGCCTTCAGGTAGCGGGCATAACCCAAACTTCTGCTTTATGACTGGAAGGATGGGGCTCCACAAACACTAGCTAAAATGCTATCACCTAAAAGTAAAGCAGGGTGTGGTGGCGCATGCCTTTAATCCTAGGATTTGGGGGGTAGAGACAAGTGGATCTCTGTCTATTTGAGGCCAGCCTGGTCTACATTAGGGAGTTCTAGAATACACAGAGCTACATAGAGAAACTATATCTCAAAAGATCAAAATAAAGAAATGAAAAAAAAACAGTAGCCTTTGTCTGAAAAAGCCCAATTCAGTCATCTACCTATCTATCTATAGACAGCAGCTCACAACCTAGGCGAGGCTAGCCTTGAATTCAGAGACACGCCTGTAGGCAGATCCTCCCAAGTGCTAGGTAGGACTAAAGGCGTATACTACCACACCTAACTTACTTAAATTCTCTTAAAATGACGACGCTTCCTAGTTTTCCACTCTGTGTATTTTCTCTTTCTTTCTTCCTTCCTTTCTTTCTTTTCTTTCTTTCTTTCTTTCTTTCTTTCGTTTTTGTTGTTGTTTACTGTGTAGTCCTGGTTGGCCTGGAACTCCTGATATATATGAGGCTGGCCTCGACGTCACTGGGATCTGCCTTCTGCATACTAGGATTACAGGTATGAGCTACCATAGAAGAATAAATTAGTTTACCACTAAGTTGGCAACTTGCCACAAATCTATCATAGCACAGTTCTGTAGGTCAGAAGTGAACAATCTGTCTCACCGGGCAAAAATCAAGGCTCTTAGTTCTTCTCTGTCTGGGCTTCAGATCAATTTCTCCACCTTTGCCATCCCTGAGGGACTACCCATATCCCTTGATTCCTGGTACCTTCCTCTACAGAATACAGTATGCTTGTATTTTTAAAAAATTTAAAATGAGAGGCTTACTTTCTTCCTACTTTTAGGTAAGACTAGTCACCCCTCATCTTCCTGTTCATCTACATGTCTCAGTATTACACTGAAGCAATAGCACAGACTATCTCTTTCAAAGATTCCAATAGCATCATGTATTTCCTCAGACAATGAAAATACAAATTATACCATAGTACATTCCTTATGGTACTTTTATAAATCAGCATGGATTATTGGTGCCACTATAATAAAAGATGCTAAGTTATTGTGTTTTGTTTTTGTTTTGAGGCAAAGTTTCACTGTATACCCCTGGCTGGCCTACTCCCTACACTTACCAGGTTGGCCTTGAATTCACAAGAGATCTGCCTTCCTAGTACTAGGATTACAGGTATGAACCACCCTGTAGGGATAAGATAAAAAGTTATCAAAAAAGGTCTCCTCTGTGAGCCTTGGTTAATAAACAACCCAGGTAGAAGGTAAGTGCTCAAAGATTTCCTCAACAAATGTTTTTGAATCATTTCAACTGCTGTTGAGCTTTCACTGATATATATCATAGATTTTTGTGTTTTGAAGATGGTTACTGAGTTAAGGAACGTGGGGTGTGATGGCGCATGCCTGGAACCCTAGCACTTGGTATGTTGAGTCGGGAGGATCAGGTGTCACGACCCCTTTTAGCTCCAATTCAAATTCAGGGCCAGCCTGGGATACTCCAGACCTTGTCTCAGAAGCCCAAGGAGCTGGATATGCTGCCTCATTACTTTGGGAGGCAGAGGCAGGGGGTGGCAGATCTCTGTGAGTTTGAAGCCAGCCCGGTCTACACAGCGAGTTCCTTGCCAGCCAGGGCTATACAGTGAGACCCTACCTCTAAATTAGGGTGTAGAGGGCTGGAGAAAAGGACTCAGCAGTTTGGTACCTAGGGCCCACATGACAGTCACAACTGCCTACACTTGAAGGTCTGAGGTCCCCTCTTCTGGTCTCTGAAGGAACTGCAGACAGCAGGGTACAGACACTAAACACAGGCAAACACTCACCCATCAAATATCTTTTTTTTTTAAAGGAAAATTGCTTATTAGCCGACCACACACCTAAGGGACTTGTGACTTGTGTTTCAGTTGTGATACAACAGGGTAACATGTATCTCTTTCTGTCTCTTTTGAGAAAGGATCCATTGAGATCCACCAGCCTCTCACCAGGTGCTGGGATTAAAAACCACCACACCCAGCTTGCAAGAAAAGATAATGCAATTCCAAATTCTATCATTGTCTGAGCCATAGCCTGGTAAGGAGTTTGGTGTTTTCGGCACCGCACACATAAATGACAAAGGTCTTCTCTTTTTCACCCATCCAAGTGTACTGGCTCAATCTTATCCATTGTTTTGAAGATGGATGTGAAGACAGATTATTTCCCACAGCGATTGCATTATCTCGCTACTTTTTTTTCCCCCTTCACATGTTTTAAATTCGAAGGTCTCCTCAAAAAGACCAGAACTCGGAGCGTTTCTTTAACATGTGTGGTGCCACGGGGATCAAACAGAATCCCTCACCAGCAGGCTGGGACGCGCTCGCAGGCCGGGTCTGCCATGGGGCCTTCTGAGGAAGGGGTTTTGTTCGTGCCCTGCCTAGGCCGGTGGGACGCCACGCAGGGCCCGCGGGCTGAAATCTCCCGCCACCCTCCCGGGGTGTGTTCGGCCGGTGCCGTGGGGGGAGCCCGGGCCCCAAGGGAGAGGGGCTGGGGCGGCGGCGGGGCGGGCCCGGAGGCCCGTGGGGGAGGAGCGGCGGCGGGGCTGCTGTGGCGACCGACGCTCGGCGGTGGCGGAGACCCACCCCCGTCCACATGGACAGTCGCCGAGGCCTGGGCTGATGCTCTGACGCCTGGGCGGGGTGGGCGGGCAGGCGGCGGCGGCGGCGGCGGCGGCCACTGCGGGAGCAGCGAGGGGTCGCGGGCGCCTGACGGTCGCGGAGCCCTCGCTCGGCGCGCCGCTGCGGCCATTTTACGGCCCGGGACGCAGGCGGCGTGTGCGCGTTCGCTTCGTTCTCCGTCCCCGGCGCCAGCGGCGGAGAGCAGCTTCACGGAGATCGGCGCGGCCGGTGGATGGGGAGTCGTGTGCCGAGGGAAGCCGGACCCGGGAAGCGCCGCCGCCGCCGTCGCCGCCGCTCACGGACCCCGGTAGGAGCCTGAGGAGAAGCAGCCCAGGCCGCGGGCCTCAGCGCCTCCCGTCCGCCCGAGACAGGCCGGGCCGCGTCGGCCAGCTTTTGTGTGGGGACCCGGCCCGGCGGGGACAGCGTCGCTCGCGGACGGCCGAGCCCGAGGCCCGCCAACCTGCGGCTGCTACCCTCCCGCCGCGCGGCCCCTGTTCCCCGCGAGCACGGCCGCGGTGCCGGCCATGGAGTAAGGAGGAGGCGGCGTGAGAAGAGGAAGATGGCGGCGGGCAAGAGCGGCGGCGGCGCTGGGCAGGCTGCTTTTCTGGAAGGTGCGTTCGCGGTCGGCGAACTCAGGGGAGGGTGGGGGTGGGGGGAAACTCGTGACACCGGGGTCCCCCGGGCCGTGGTACTCAGCTGTGTGCTCCAGGAGGGCCTGGCTCCGTCAGGAGGGGCCGGGTGGTCGATGGCGGGCGTTCGGGTCCTCCCGGCAAGGGCTCGGGCAGGCCGGCGCGAGACGGCGCGGTGGCCGCACTGGGAGCCGAGGCCTCGGGCGGCCTGGCGAGGGCCACGCCGAAGGCTCGGACTAGTCTCCCTTCTCCCTATTTTCCATGCTTGCCTAGGGGGTGAGAGGCGACTGCTTTCAGGTCTTGCTCAGCGTTCGTGCAAAGTTTCAGACTGCTGAGCTTTGGGGGGAATTGGCCGCTCCAAGTCGGCAGGGGAGAGGTAGTTGTCGTTCCCTGGCCTGCTGGTTAAAAAGCTGGTTAAAAGGCTGCTGGCCGCTGCCGTTGGGGTGCAGGTTAGACCCGGTGGTGTCCGATGATACTCTGATGAGATGTGTTTTGGTCATACTTCGTAAACCAGTTTAAATGAAAAAAAAAAAAAAGAAGAGAAGGAGCCTCACAGTGTCAGTTTGGGGACAGGCAGGGAAGCTGAAAGAGTTAGGGTGTTTCCATTTTTAGTCGCTTAAGAGGCAGAGTTAACTATTTTCAGTTGGACTAAGCCGGTTAAAAGGTGTGTTTTGGTTTGGGGTAGTGGTAAATGGGTAACGATACTGGCTTTTGCCTTCCCAGCACCGGGAACATGACGTTCACACGACTTTATTTAATTTTTCTGGTAATTGAGTTTATGAGTATGTTTAGGAAAATGAGTCTGCATTCCGTGCTTGTTAAGAATAAATACTTTTGCCGGGCAGTGATGGCACAGGCCTTTGATCCCAGCACTAGAGAGGCCGAGGCAGGTGGATCTCTGTGAGTTCTAGGCCAGCCTGGATTACAGAGCGAGTTCCAGGACAGCCGTGGCTACACAGAGAAATCCTGTCTCGAAAAACCAAACCAAAAACAACAAAAGAATAATTACTCTGAGTAATTTGAAAGTATTTTTCCCCCTGGGTGAAATATATCCAGGTCATGCTTTAAGAAATGATTTAGAAGCATTACTGGATTAAGAAGATATAAATTAAAGTTAAGAAAGAACCTTAATTTTCTGTAGGAGGGTGGCATAATGCCCTGCTCACTGCCTCTGGAGGAAGTACTCGGCTAATGAATGGAGGCTAAGAGAAGAGCGAAAATAATTTTCTTTATTCTTCATACTTGAGAATAGGCAAGTGGGAAAAAAAAGCTTACTTTGCCTTGCAAGCCAGACTTTATATAAAAAGTGATGAGACCTTTCTATTATTTTCCTCACAAGATAAGGAAAGCGTGTGTGTTTTCCTGAGTTCATTTCCTGTTACCTCCATACTGGTTTGACCATGTTAGGTAACCTACCAACAGATGGAGAGAGTAGTTTGTATTGCAGGTTGTGCTATGCCTTCTATTTTTTTGTTTGGAAATTGGAAACTCAAGCGGTGGCTTTCTGATGTTCATATTCACCAGGAAGAGGATTAGACTTGTGGGATTTTGTGAATTTTGGGCTTCTGTAGGCTGCTAACTCAGTTTAAATATGAGTGGATAAACACAGGGAGGGTAAAACAGGCACAAAGCCATCACTAGCAGGCTGATGTGACTGGCAGTGGCTTTAATTTATCCTAACTTCAGTGTCCAGAAATGCACAGATGTGGAAGTGTGAGTTCCACCTTGTCTCATTCAGTAGTGAAAAAAGTTTAGACCAGGCCAGCCTTGAACTTCTGGAATCCTCTTGCCTCAGCTTCTCAAGCACTAGGATTACAGATACGTGGTTTTTTAGGATTAATTATTTTTAAAACCTGTTTTTAAACTTCTATTTTCTGTGTATGATTTTTTTTGCCTGTATGTATGTGCAACCTGTACAAGCCTGGTGCCACAGTTAAAAAAAGAAGGCATGTGGAACTGGAAGCATGGATGGTTGTGAGCCACTGTATAGGCACAGTGGACTGGCCTGGGGTCTCTGCAAGTGCAGCAAGAGGTCCTGACCCATGAACCATCTCCCCAGCCCTTAGGTTTGATATTTTAAAGATCCCTATATTATGCTTTGGTTTCCTTTGACAATATTTTTCTTAACTCATCAAACATTTTTAGTAGCCTAGTCTACTTGGTTGGAATAAAACAGTGAATGAAGTACTCGAAGTCACTGCCTTCATAGAATGTGTATATTTTAATGGAAGAGACTGCCAACCAGTGGGAAAGAAACAAAGCAAAACAAAAACAAACAAAAACCAATGCATTTAAAACATTTTTCAAAACTTCTATCAGCTTTTTGAGGTCTGCTCAAACTTGACATGTGTCTGTAATGTCCTGATGCCACCTGTGCTCTACAAATCTGCATATGCATACATGTTTTAACAATTTATCAAATGATTTCTTTCTACTTTTCAGCCAGATAGAAATAAAAGCTCTATTGAAGCAATTAGCTTGTAGTTTTCCTGTCATATTCTTATATCTAGAATACATTTGCTGTTAATGAATAAACTAGATCATTATGATGTGATAAAGACTATGGAAGAGCCGGGCGGTGGTGGCGCACGCCTTTAATCCCAGCACTTGGGAGGCAGAGGCAGGCGGATCTCTGTGAGTTCGAGACCAGCCTGGTCTACAAGAGCTAGTTCCAGGACAGGCTCCAAAACCACAGAGAAACCCTGCCTCGAAAAACCAAAGGAAAAAAAAAAAGACTATGGAAGAAACATGGAGAGCAATGCAGGCGAATCTGAGTTCGAGGCCAACCCGGTATACAGAGCAAGTTCCAGGACAGCCAGGGCTACACATAGAAACCCTGTTTCAAAAAAACGAGAAAAAAAAAAAAAGGAAGGAAGGTGTCTTTAAAGAGGGGCTGCCGAGTGAACCCTTTAATCACAAGATACTCAAAGGGGTGATGCATATAAAGGTTCAGAGGCCATTTGTGGTTTCACTACTTGAAATTAAGGGAGAGAGGGGTAGAAGCTCTGTGGTACAGGATTGTGATTATGTCTTTTTCCAAGTAGTAGGAAGCCATTGGAGAACTGGGAGCAAAAAAAGTGTCCTAATATAATTTATATGTACATATATATTTGTCTGTGATGCTGCTTAGTAGTAGAGTGCTTGCCTAGCATCTGCAAAATCTTGGGTTTGATCTCCAGCAAGGAATATAACAGGGTGGTGGCTACCTGTAATCCCAGTGCTTGGGAGGTGGAAGCTGGAGACTCAGAAGTTTAAGGTTATCCCTGTGGGATACACAAGACTTTTTTTTTTTTTTTTTGTCACTTTGGCTGCCTTATCTGCAATAAATTACAAAAGTTCAAGAATAAAAGGGAAATGAATTACAAACAAAACAGTGCAGCAGTTTTGGTAGAAGTGAGCCTGACTTGAAAATTGGAAAAGGAGAGTCAGGGGGTTGAATAAAGAGCAGAATAGAGTAAGATTTATTCATGCAGTATCCACTTAAGATGAAAATAAGAAAGACTCCAAGATCCTTTTTTGAGGGTTGGTATGAGGTTCTGGGATGAGTGACGCACTGCTGGATTCTAGGTCTCAGGTGATGTCTGATATCTTTGCTCTAGGATACGTTCTAACTGTTAAGGAGACCCCAATTCTGTGTTGTTCTCGTGTTGAAGTGTCACGGATGCTCATCTACTGATGTACCTTTTCACCTGTCGCAGTGTCGCCAGTCTCTGTTCATTCAACATGCTGTTTAGTCGCTGCTTAGAGAAGAGGCACATGGTGGTTTCCCGAGTCTCCTGAATCATAATCATAAAATTACAACTGTCATGTATAACAAATGAGTTATTTATAATAAGCATTTTTATCATAGTCCCTTAAAGGGTGAATAGGAGGAGTGGTGGCGAGACAGAGCTTTCCAGGAAGAGACAGTAAAAATAAAAGGAACAAGGCACATTTGAGGGGGATGAAAACAGTGTCAAAAGGATGGTTCAAGGTGAGGCTGACATTAGCAAGTATACTTCACAAAAAAACAAAAAATACTTGAATCCTATGTGGAGACAGCTGTAGAGGGGTGGCAGCTTAGGAAAACCAGCTTGCTTATTCCGCTTCCCTTCTGGTGGTGTCTTCTCATCTGCTCTGTGGGACTCCGCTCTCACATTTATTTATGTAGTGCACTTACTTAGAGCTAGTTTGCTTTCTCTTTACCTTCTTTTCTGCAATCTGAAGTACATTTGCCATTCCATTCTCTCTCTCTGTGTGTGTGTGTGTGTGTGTGAGAGAGAGAGAGAGAGAGAGAGAGAGAGAGCGAGAGAGAGCAAGAGAGCTCACAAGTGCATGCATGGGCTCCTGCCTATGTTTGTTGAGGCCAGAGATCAAATTGCCTTCCATCACTCTACACCTTTTTTTTTTTGAAATCTTTAAAAAGGTTTATCTTCATTTATGTGTATGTACATGAGTTGTACGTGCACTACATGAATGCAGGAGCCGGCAAAAGTCAGAAGCAATGTTGGATCCCCTGGAATTGGAGTCAGAGATGCTGTCCTATGGGTCTGGGAACTGAACCCTGGTTCTCTGCAGGAACAAGTGTTCTTAACTCCTAAGACATCTCTCCAGCCCTTCTAAATGTTCTACTTTCTTTTGTTTTTAATGATGCATGTATGTATGTGCTCCTCTTTATGTATACAGATGTGAGCACATACTTGCCACAATGTACATGTACAGGTCAGAGGACAGCTTCAAGCCTCAGTCTTTGCCTTCTACCTTGTTTGAGATGGAGTCCCTTTTGTTGTTGTCCTAAACTCGGAACTTTCCTGACTGCCTATAGAAGAGCTGTGATTTTTGTGGGGTTTTTTTTTTAGCACTGGCTTTCGGTGATTTTGGAAATTGGAGCAGTTTCTCATGCTGGCTTATGAAGTGCTTTGCCCATTGAGCCATCTCCCCAGCCCTCAGCCTTATTTATTTACTTATTTATTTATTTAAACGAGCCAAGTATTTTATTTTTT